AACTTAATAATATAAAAGATGGCTAAAGCTACGGTGACATCGCCATTCGATCAGTAAAGTTCTGTCTTAAAGCCTCATTGTTACAGTCACCTTCTTACAATAATCAGAAAATGACGAGCAAGGGATGAATGTGAAGGACATTGTATGCTCGATGTAGCCCTGCCCTAAAGCATAACCAGCTTTATCATCCTTCTGGACATCATTTACTAAATGGACATGCTATTTTCAATAACACTCAAAGGTAGTAGCTGAGGCCATAAACCTGTCAGAAAAGCTGTGTTTCTGAGGCCACGGAGCAAAGAAGCTGAAGGTCATCTTCCCCCTGAGCTGCTGGCTCACAGAAGCAGCCGCCATCTGGTCATCAGGAGGAATGCAGGTAAAACACCTGCAAGACCTTAGAAGTCTATCATTTATACACAGTCCACTGGAGAGCATGCATTACCTGAAACGACTCAGTGATGTTTGAATCACTCTGTATTCTTTGCACTGTTTAAGCTTCAACCAGCACTCTTTGTGTCCTCTCCTCCTGCACTGGCTTCTTTTGGCCACGAACTGCAGGATCAGTGCCACCAGCTGTTCATGCTAACAGCAAACTGCTAATATAACAGCAGCAGATGGAGTCAGGGACAGGAAACAACAACATAGTAACTGTGATCATGATTTCCTTAATTTACTGCGTTGCAAATGGAGTTAGTGAATCCGGAGAAGATACAGGCGGTCGCCGGAAACGAGATTCGAGAAGCATCTAAAATGACAGAAAGCAATCGCATGGATTTTACAAACCGTCCTGAAGACTGACTGTGCAATAACTGAGACGGGCTCGTTGAAACAAAATGCATCTGCTTCCAGAGACTGCACAAACAAAACCCCAACAATTCAATCAGCTGGTAAACATCTTCCTGACTTTCAGCTGTGCAGTGGCAGGCAAAGACGGAGATCTAGGTAAGCATGCATATATCAGAAACATGATAACGAGACATGAAACTCAAAGTGAAACTCAGCTGAAATCCATGGGCTGATTCTGTGAGAGCACAGCTCGTGACAGCTGATAATTTTGTGTTTTTTGTTCAAATCAGATTTGACTGGTGAGTGTAGTTTTACATGACAGTGATTTTTTAAATGATTCATGGCGCTTTTCCCAGTTCATGGAGATTGGGAATTAAAAATACCTCCCCAAACACACACACACACACACACCTGCTCATTTCAGAGCACCAAATGGAAGAGGTTAGTCTGCTTGTTGTGGATGTTAAGACACACAGATCAATGGGAGGAAATGTGTATAGTATTGTGTGTGTGTGTGCGTGCGTGCCTGGGTTGTTAGAGAAAGACACAAATGCGGGGGGTTAACAGGGTGCAAGAAAAAAAAGAGTGAAAGAGAAAGAGAGGAAAGGCAGGAAGAGGTATTGATTTTCCCAGGTTAAGCAGGGCCTGTAATTAAAATGTTAATTTGAGAAAGAGAGCGATAGTGTACTGACAGCAGAGAGAGGGATAAGAGGACTGATAATCAGGATGACAGAACAAGACAGAGAGGTGGAATGAGAAAGTGGAAAGAAGGGGACACGGGAAGACGGGAAACAGAAGGAGTGGACGAAGTCGGGAAGAATTGAAAAGAAAGAAGAGGAAATGCTAAAAAATGATAAATGTGATCCACGGGCAGAGATGAAAAGAGTGAGAGGAACCGAAATGCTTTGTGATCAGGGATATTAGGAGAGAAAGGAAAAATGGATATGATAGGGGAGGAACAAAGACAAACTCTCACCCATCCAGACATCGGATTCTACTTTTGATCCTGCAGGACCATTAATTCACCAGGTCAAAGCCCTCGCCGCTCAACCCAACAGGAACACGCTTTTCGTTTAGTGAAGACAAAGAAATGAAGCTGCCCGTCTGAGTAAATGCAACATTTACATTTCAGCTGGGTGCTCGCTACAACGTGTTACCTTCAACAATCCATCCGTACATTTATAATTATGCAAGAGCAATGTGTCCAATCACATTTAGGTTTCTGAAAAGTCCAGACTACATGTAAAAATCAGCAAAAACTCCCAAACATTTGGATTAAAGATGAAAGCTGCACCTGAGTGTTTGACTGAACGTCCACCACAGTGATGTGTGCAGGCTAACCAGAGAGTCAACGTCCAAATACTTCTTATTTCTTTACAATTTAAAGAAGACAGCATTGGGACTGTGTGTGTGTGTGTGTGTGTGTGTGTGTGTGTGTGTGTGT